GAGTGTATTCAAAAATTAAAAAACTTTTCAAAGCTTCATGGCAATCGTACTATGCCACAAACCTTCGCTGGAGTATATTAAACAACTTCCCAAAGTTTCACGCCAACCGGATAAACGGTGTGGTAATGCATGAATGACACACACACACACAGACAGACAACCATACATTCATTTTTATATATATAGATTTTAATCGCCGTTGAATAAGGAATGTTTCTTTCACACGAAATGTATAAAATTACAGTACTGTATTAGACTTACGGTAGCTAATTTACATACTGTACAGACGATAGTTCGCCTAAACTCTCCGTAGCGTAGCGCTAGACGGCGGAGAGCATATATACATAATTATAATAAAGTTACAATAAATTAAGTTAATATATAATTATATATACAGTACCTAATTTATATATAATTATATGTACAGACGATACTAAGCTCAATTTACCCGCCTAAACTGTCCGTAGCGTGGCGCTGGACGGCAGAAAGTAGTTCGGCTGCCCGATGACGTTTTACGTAATTATAGGAGTTTTTTACCGTTGTTGACGGATACCGCCACAATTTTTTCGCCGTCTTATAGGAATCGTAATTATAGGAATCCGTCTTATAGGGGGATCTACTGTATATGTAAATGCACCATCTTGCCCCACCTGTGGGGTAAGATGAGTATTTTTATGTACAAGAAGAACAAATTAAAATGTACAAGAATTATGTACAAGAATTATGTACAAGAATTATGAAGAATTATGTACAAGAATTAAAATGTACAAGAATTTTTATGTACAAGAAGAACAAATTAAAATGGTTAAACTGTCGTTTTCATCAATATTGGCGTAAGAATAGTGTGCCCGTTTATCACAACGACTACATTTAGCCCAACTCTCTGTAGATAGAGTATAACCTTCCATAATAGAGACATTCTGGGTTATTTGTCTTTTGTTTCCTGTTAGACCTACCCGATGCCTGTAGCTTTTGATTTTACGGAATTTCTTTCGGTAAAGAAAGACCGTTTTCCTGGAGGTGCCGAAACTGCTGTTGATTGTTTTTGTTGTTCC